ATCTTTCTGTCTCTCTCTGACAACCTTTAAGATTGTTACCTTGTCCATTGGTGTTTGCCAATTTAATTGTAATGTGACTTGGTGTTGGTCTTTTGGGGTTCATCTGGTTTGGGACTCTGTGAGCTTCCTGGACTTGTGTGAGTTTTTCCTTCTTCCCAATATCAGGGAAGTTTTCTGTCATTATTTCTTCAAACAGGTTTTCTACTCCTTGATCAGTTTCCTCTCCTTCTGGGACCCCTTTTATGTGGATGTTGTTTCGTTTTGTGCTGTCCCAAAGTTCCCTTAGGCTCTCTTCCTGTTTTTTAATTTTTTTTCCAGTTGCTGCTCTGCTTAGGTATTTTTTCCTACCTTGTCTTCTAGCTCACTGACATGGTCCTCCACTTCTTCTAGTTTAGTCTTGGAGCTTTCTATTAAGTTCTCTATAGCAGCGATGTCATTTTTCATTTCTTCTTGCTTCTTCTTCATTTCCTCTTGGTTCTTACACATATTGTTGAATTTGTCTTCCATTCTTTTCAGCCACCTTATGACCATTTGAATTCTTTCTCTGACATATTGCTCGCCTCCTTTTCATTTACTTCCTTTTCTGGTGATGCCTCCTTTTCTTTCATTTGCCAGCTGTTTCTCTGTCTCCCCATGATCTCTCTTCTCTGAGTATCTGGTTATGTAGCTCTCTCTCTTTCCTTCCAGCACTGTGTACAAATTGTCTCTTCCACATGTCCTTTTTCTCCTGGTACTAAACAGCTGGCACACTGGTAAAAGCCAAGGCTGCCTTTTTGCAACCAGTCTAGCTATTTGCTGATTTTTAGAGTTCTCTTCTGCCAGTAGCCCTGCGGATCCCCTTCCACACTCGTGGATCATGCTGGCCCAAACGGCCGCAGACTTTGTGGGGTGCAGACTTCCCTCTCTCCAACCTGGATCGCAGACCTCACCTTTCCATAGGCAAAATCTGACCTTTCTGTGAGGAAGAGCAGGACTCATCCAAGTCCATGTATTTGCGCTGTTTGAGATCCGGTGTTCCTGGGTTCGTAGCTGGTCCCTGGGTGCCATGGTTGCAGGGTCCCTGGATGTATATGCTTCTGATAATAGCCACTCTCCCCTTAAAGATGGCATGGTTTCTGTGGAAGAGCTGGCTGCTACAGGAGAGATTTCAGCAGCAGTGGAGGCTGCCTAGTTAGGGGAGCCCTATCCAGCAGTCTTCAACAGTCCCCTGGAGTATACCTATTGCTCACCCACAAATTTACACTCTCCGTACGTCCACACCCTCTCCTTTCATTCTCTCACTCACACACTATCTTGCAGCCTGCTTTCCCGTTGGCAGCCATCTTTTCCTCTCTCTGAAGAGCCATATTGCAGGAGATGAGTTAGTTCTAGAAGGCAACACTACAGCAGAAATTACAAAGAGGTAATATGTAGCTGAAGATATTATGAACTCTCTAGTAATCAGCACCACAACCATGGAACAGGTTGCTTTATGAGGCAGGGACACTCCTAGTCACCTTAAGAAGTCTAAAGGAAACTCAGAAATGATCTATAAGGGTTTGCTCATGACATGGCCTCCAAAGTTCTTTTGGTCTTGATGTGCTATGGTTCCACCTTTGGATAATTGGGGGAAAGCTGTATTAATTCAGGAAGCAGGTGAATTACAAAAGGAAGTTTTCATTTATATATACAGTTGCTATATCTGAAGCCAAGTAAATACTAGTACTATGGCCTGATGAAAAGCTTTGTGGGGGGTGGGGGAAATCAGACAGAATGGAGATGAGTTAGAACTAAAATTAGTTAGGTGTCACTATGTTTGCAAGGCTGATTTAGAACCTAACATTCAAAGGATACTCATAATCAGTTTCAATAAGGACAAACAACATTCATCATGCGCTAATAATAGGCAGATCCCAAAGGTTTTTGTCTCCTAGAATTAAAAGCCAAATAACTCAAGTCCTCGCAGGTCAGAAGCAAATGAACTAAAAGCTAAGAAGAAGGAGCTGTGAAACTAAATCAGAAGCCAAATGCTTCCAAATAGTGTTGTTCTGCCAAATTTGAAATACATATTTGGACTCTTTAGGTTCATACATGCACTTACCTCAGGGAGACTAGATATATGTTTGGCATTCCCTGGGTGCTTATTAGAAATATAGAATCTCAGGATCTTACCCAGACTTACTGAACCAGAATCTGCATTTAACAAGAGTCTCAGGTGGTTCACAGGTGTATTAGAATTTGAGAATCACTGCTCTACACTGGAGTTGACAAAATGTTTCTTTCTTGCTGTCTTCTGTTATCAATAGCCAGATATGGAAATCCAAATATAGAACACATGACCTGTAAAATATGAGCATATGTATAGAGACACTAGGACAGGACCATTGTCATTAAGACTGTCCCATCTGGAAAATTGGTTACTATGACTATGGAAAGAATACTAATTGCTACCCAAGTAATTCTATGCTAAAGTAGACAGCTGGGGTTAGCCTGAAGTAAAGAGAATTTGTACCTCAGTATTTGATAGTATCTGAGTGGACAAGAAAGCAAGTTTGATCCTTGGGCTCAACCATCACAGGGGTTAACCAATGCTGTGGAACCCACCAATCCAATGTTAGAGGAGGAGCAATGTGGGTGGTTAATATTAGCACATAGACATTCCTAACTGTTAGATGTCCCCTTGTTATTATTTTAAATACAAGAATATGCCCTGGTGGCACTTGATGCTATTTTAGAAGAGAGGGCATAAGAAGCCTATTCCAGGTGTTCTCTAAAGGGTACCTGCTTTGAAACCCTTTTTGTACTGCCCAAATGTTACATTGTTCTTTTTGCTGTGAGAAACAACCCAAGAACCCAAGATAAATGCAAAAATGTGAAGGCTTAAAATGAAGGATAGTCTGGCTATCAATGAATCAGAAAATCCATGATTTTAATTCAAATTTAACTAGAAAAACCAATGAAATGACCTTTTAATTTGTTCCACTTTTAAGACCAAATCTAAACACATTACCTAATAAGGATGCTCATGACCATTACTCACTCAGTAATATTCTCCTCTGCAAATCCCAACATTTAAACTGAGTTCAGTCTCCCAACTCTCCATGGTTTAGCTCTGTCACCAGGTGAAACTGATCCAACAGGCAAAACCCAAACTCATGAAGTACAAATCTTGAAATCTCTCCAACAGAAATCAAGAAGGAATAGTAGTTATCTATGTAGTTCTTACTTAATGCTATCATTTTTTTCCTGCTCCATAAATCAGATGGAAAGTCTTGTTTCATCTTTGCAACAGAACAATCACATGTGAGCAGAATGAGTCCTGGGTAGCCATGCTCTCTGTTTTTTAGGGCCACTTGTGTGACAGGCAGGTGTGCCTGCACAAATGAATGACTGGAAACAAGAGCAGGATGAGGGAGAGGGGATGGCTGTGGGCTTGCAGGAGACATGGGAGCCACAGAGGGTGCAGACTTAGAATCCACATTCTTCTTCTCCAAATGCCCTCCTATGCCATCATGTCCCAGACAATCATGAAACACTACCAGGCAGCTGTTAATTACCATCTACACACTTTTCCATAAGAAAGTCACGTTTATTGGCAACTTTCTCTTGGCTCCTCCCAAAGAGGGAGGTTGCTCTCAAAATCCTAGTATTCCATGGGTCAGAAAAGAACCAGCCTGCCCTAAGGCAGAGCACACACATGTCTGCTTTATCCATCAGTTTAGCCAAATAAACTGGCAGTATTTATTTAGCAGCTACTGTAGAGTTGGTGCTGGGGAATGTCAAAACCAAATGTGTAAGATTCCATCCCTGCCCTTGAGAAGGTCACTGTTTTGTTTGGAGAAGCAGAGAAAGGATAAGATATACTAACAAGAAAAATTATCAATAACAAAGCAGTAGATAATAAATGTCCAGAGAGTGGTATAAACAAAGAAGGTTGTTGTAATTGCATTGATTTCAGGTGAAGTGCATTATAACAGCAATGTGGTTGTAGGATGGATGGTAGTCAAGCAATCTGCGAGTGTGACATTATGGGGGATGTGGGATGCGAACTATGCATAGATAGCTTCACACCATTCAGATGGAGTGTGGTTCAAGTGGGCTATAAAAGAGGGAGGGAGGGAGTGCGATTGAGTCATAGTGGGAGGCAGTGACTGAGCTGAAGGCCACTAATCTATGAGAAATCTTGTCCTGGCTGTGGCATGGTTCAGAATAAACCCTTTTCAAGGAAGGGCAGAACCATTTGAGGGATGCTAGATCAGGTGCCTAACCTTGATTGCAGGAATTCAGAATATTCCTCTAACTCCACCTTCTGCCTTACTCACCAGCCACCTTATTATTCCAAGGTCATAGGAGAGCTCTCCTTCCACAGGGAGGCACAGGACCAATGACTGTGAGGTCAAATATATCACCAAATAATGCAGAGCTATTTCTTATAGGAGGACCTTAATGGAGAGGGAAATATAAGAAATGCTGCCTCCATACCACAGTGGTCAAAACCTTCATGTGTGAAACAAGTGTGACCTCCATGTAGCTCGCTTGTCCTTGCTCAGTACCTCATCCATTCCTCTCAGGGCCCCTTCAGGCCTCCTACCAAGCCTCCACAGACTGGGCACTCTGAAGATGCTGGTATTCCTACAAACTGAGAAAATAAGCTATCAAGGCTGCCCTCACTACCACCCTTCCCCACCTGCTGACTTAACTCCATGGTTCCCACTGCTCCTAAGTCCCATGCTTAATCTCAGAGGATGGAGTCAGCCTTCTTGTATAAGACCAGACTCTCCCTTACAGCTCCATAAGCCATCTCCCTTATTTTCTTCATCTGTCATTGTCTTTTCTGTTCACTTTCTTTTTAGCCTATAGACATGATAAATATGCTGTCAATCAAAAATACACACACCCAAACTCAACAAAAACACAACCCATACACACACACAAACATACACACACACCTTCCTTTGACCTCTTGCCACCACTGTTGCTCTCATTCCCTTATTAAGCAGGAAGGCCCCAGAGGAAATTGTCTGTGTTGATGTATCTTCATGTCTTCAGTACCAGTTACAGAGTATGGTGTCCACAGGTATGCAATAAAATTTGTTCAACTGGCTGCTAACAAATGACAAAGACAGATTGGACTGAGTTTCAGCTTTATAGTTTATTCAGGATTACCTTTCTAAGCACACATATTGTTTCTCTTTTACACAAAGGCCCATATTTGAGAGGGACAGCCAGATGTCAAAATTGGCCTGGACTGAAAAGAGCTGAGGTTAGAGCTCCACATTCACTGGGGAACCTCCAAACCCTATTTTTCAATGTCTTTCTTACTTTTTAAAAAATCTTTTGGAAAACCATGCTGCTGTGGTCTTCAGTTGACCTGGCCTTGTGTTCATTTGTGTTTGCTTGTTTTTGATGAAAAGAGCATGGCACTCAATTATGCAACCATCTCGACTCCTAGGAAGTTCTGTAGGTACTGTGAGACTCCCTGACTGGGGACTCTGTTTATAATCGGGTATCATTTTATATATTTGTAGCAATAGTGGTCATGATGTAGACAAAGCTTATATACATTTCTTCAAGATTTTTACAGTCACCTATAAAGCAACATTGGCATTCTGTAACCCTGTGAGCGCACACTATAATCATTATTCTAGGAGAGCTGGTATGCTATTGGAATGTGGAATCTTTAATCCAACATGCCTCACATTGTTGCCATGACCTCAGCCTATCTGCACCATCTCAGTATCAGAATGGAACTCTTTCC